AGCTAAAATCTATTCCTAGGAACGTGCCAAATCCATCCACCAAGAGCCCCATACTCAACAATTCCCTTTTTTACAGCTTTACAGTAAAATAGTGTTTGAGCATTATTGATGGTAATCAGCTTCTCTTTTACAAATCCCTTTTATTTTGTACAGAATCATTAAAGCTCATGTGTTGGTTATCTAAGGCCTCTTATTACAGCTTTACTTTTATCTGATTCCAGATATTGGTCAATAATACATTCATGAACTTTTAAATCAAAGATTTACTTTATACCAAGTCATGTCAAAAGAGACTAAAACATGTTTTTAAAAGGTTCGACTTAATTTAATATGAGCTAATTTGAATAGTTTTCTGATGTGGCAACTCTCATTGTTAAATGCTAAATATAAGCAGTTTAGAGAGAAAGAACAACTGCCCGATGGAATTCATAAGCAGTGTAGCTTACTCGGTCTGAACAACACAAAGCACTTCTCTACCATCCGGGAAGAAAAATAAAACAGAAACAAATTTGTTGGTATTTTAAACTCCTACTTCACTTCAGTTCCATTTACACTTCTCTCCTTTATTTACAGAGAGATCTAACAGCTCCCTATTTCATGACACAGATCAAGTCAAACAGCCATAAACTGTCAGCTATTTACAAAGCAGATATTGTTCCCACAAAGAAAAAATGGTGCCTATTTGTTTTCTTCTGTACTCCTTGGGGGACGGGGGCTCTGCTACGGGGGGAAAAAAAATCCTATTACATTCTAGCAGCAAGTTGCTTCTGATATTTAACAAAAATAGCATGTGCTATATTATTAAATAAATGTAGGATATACTGAAACCTCACCCCTGTTTAGAGCCATGCAAAGTCAAGCAGTTTAAGAGTTTTGATGCACAGCTCTTAATGCAGTAAAGCCGGGGGCTCTTAAGTCAGGTACAACTTCACCACTTAATTCCAGACTGCCCACAAAAGTAACTAAGTCCCCAAACGGTGTCCACTAAGCCCTTAATTTGCTCAAACATTTCTTTGTTAACAATTCCCTGTAGTTCTCAAGCATGCTCTTATTTCAAGAAATTTTCTTAAGATATATTCCCCAATAAAGTGACAATTTCATATTCATGCAGAGGTAATGCATGTCAGCCAGAGAACCTCAAAATATTTAGCTATGTGAAGAGTTTGCTTTCTTCATCACTGGTGAATGAAAAGGGCAGCCATTTTAAATTAGAATAGCTGCTCACCGCGATATAGAAGAGAACAGGCTTCTCCAGTTTGGGGTAAGCAAGATATTGCCCAATTTGAAACAGAGCCAGAATATCAAGAGACTCTCTCTCCGTGCTCATAAAAAATTAAAAGACAGAGAGAAAAAAATATCACTGCTAAGTGGCAAACTGTCAGCATCTTAATTTTGGAAGTTCAAAGACTAGACTTCCTAAATTACAGCAAGTTCCTAAGTTTTAAAGACAACAGAGAGCATCTGATGTTGTGGCAAATCCATCTCATTCTTGCTGCTATATCAAGATAAAAAGTCCCGGATCTCTTCTGGGAGCACAGTACTTACAAAGTACTGGAGATGATTGTAAGCAAATGTGAACTGGCCCACTTCTTGGAAATTGTTTGCGTTTGGGTTGAACAGTCCCAATTTTTTAAAGGATTTGCTTGTTTACGCATAGTTGCTTAAATTTTGCAGCAAACTCTTCCAGGGGGTTACTCAGAATTTCTGAAACAATATAGCTGAGTAAACTAGACAGCTGGTGTCAGGACTTGATAAAACCACATTTAAAGTAGTCTGCAAGAGAGGAGGTGGCTATTTGTACATTACAGGACATGATAGAAACCCAACCACTGAAAAGGTCAATTTGTTTGAAAAAAGTTTACATAAAATAAGCAAAAAGAGGAACAAATTAAAAGCTAGCGCCACTCCAACTAGAAAGAACTAAAGAACTCTTATTTCTGCTTACTTTTCTGATCAGAATGGAAAGGAAACTTGTGTTTTAGTATCAGAAAAAGCTGCAACAGCTGATACTTTAAGAGTGTGTGGGTGGGCTGTTAATAATATTACAAGTTTTAGAAAATACTTAGCATTTTCCCAAAAGCAAAATAAAAAAAAAATACAACCAAAAACAGTCCATCTTTGACAAACCCACTTGCTTTTGAGAAGGCAAATTCTCCCCCTTGGATAAAATGTAATCTCTAGTATTTACACAGCACCATTTTTGTAAGTCGCTTCCTCATTTAAATTAGATCTGATTTCTAGCACCACCTCTTGAAAAGATGACAAAGAAAACAAACCTTTTAGTCATCCCAAGAATTTGAAAGTTTGAAAGGTAAGAAGGACCTCACATTGAGAGTAAACCCTCCAATGCATCTCACCATAAGAGACAAGGTTCTTTGGGTGAATATGATATCTTTTCTTAGACCAACTTAAATAGTTGGAAAAAATTTTTTAGCAAGCTTTCAGGTTTAAAAACCCTTTGGCAGGCTGAGGAAGTCTCTGCAGTTGGTGTGTGCTCTTCCTGGCATTTCTAACCCTAGTAGTAGTGATCACCTTGCTAAGGGAAAAAAACAAATCCAAAAAACCAAAAAAAGATAATTGGGTAAAGGTCAAGATACTTAATCTAGAATCCAGTTGTGAAATCATTGCCACAATGAACACAAGAGCCACTGTGATCTAAAAAATATTTCACCATCTTTTGGCTCTTAAAAACTGAAGGTCTTGGGCATGAGATTTTTAAACACAAAGCCCTGTCTGCCTAATTTAGGCCTTCAAAAATCAAAAGGCAATTATCCCCAAGAGCGGGAGTTAGCTGCAATGGCCTTGACCCAAATTTTCCCTCCCCTCCACCGTTGCACAGCATTCCATCTGCTCCTTTTCAGCATGATGGATGAAGTTTATCACATGCCTTGAAATCTACTCAAAATGTAACATCATTCTACAGTTTGTATATTAATAGGAATGTGTTAGCATTAGAGCAGTAAGTGGTATCACTTACAATCTTGCCAGGAAGATACACCTTAAAAAGTTGTGTGGAGTGTTTAAAAAAAAAAAAAAAAAAAAAAAAAACCGACATGGGGAAAAGACCTGCATCATGTTTCATTAAGCTCTGTATTGTCAAGGACGTCTCCACTGGAAAACTGCGTTAGGCAAGAGAAAGGGACAGTGTGTGGAAAGCAACTAAAAACAGATCTGAGAATAGACATGGCCAGCCTTTTGCTTACATCAAGACCCAATATGACTTGGTTACGGGAGCATTGAGCTTTCAGAGATAAAAGGTGATGGTCTTTACTACATGGCCTAGAGACATTACCGTACAGTAGGTGAGTCACTCAGAAGTTTACAAAGAACACTCTTTATTTATTTTTTTTAAATTAAGATTGAAGAAAATCTTTAATACTAATCTTCATTAAAGAACCAGTCTGTGCGAGACAAAGTGTTACAGGCGCCAAAGAGCAACAAGTCTAAAAATAGTATTAAGCCCCTCCCCTATAATAGGAAGAATATGTAGAATCACATCCCAACAGCGGGGTCAAAGTAGAAGAGTCTCTAGAGTGATCCAATTTTAGTATATATATTCTCACTTTCTTTCATCATGAACTACAGACCTAATAGGCAACTGTCAATCCTATAGCTCATGGTAAGACGTCTAGTTAAGGGCCTGATGAATCCACTTGTACGGGGTCCTGAGACCATCACACCAAGACCTTTGATGCGTATGCCCAGGCAAGACTATGGAGGAGTGGAGGGCTGCCCAAGACCTACCATCTCCTCTTTACACCACCGGAGACAGAGTCCAAAGGCCAGACAAGCCTAGACATTCAGTGCCTCGATGGTTGTAGCTTCTGCCAGAGAGAAACGCATCAGAGCTGCTCCTGACTGCTGAACGTCTCTGCAAGGGTGCGTTTCTTTTAGGGTGACATCCTTTAGCGTTTCTACAGCCAAAGAGGCCCCATAAGACAATGGGGGCTAGGGTTTTGAGGTGCCTTATGCTTACCTTACTCTGGAGGTTGCAATGTTGTAGCAATTTATAGGAGCCACCCTGCTCCCAGAGCAGCCCCACTATGTTGCTGCCAGACCCTCCCGTCAGAAGCAGTTTACAGTCATACCCAGGACCAATAAACTAGAGAACATTTCACGTAAAAAACCCCAAAAACAGGGAGTTCAAAACAGATGCATTTCAAGATTCAGTGGAGGGTTAAAGAACCAAAATTGTTAGAAAAAGGGAAGGTAACTTGCAGCCTCCAAGCTCTCACCTGGCCACAACCTGCCCCACTGCTGCAACTGCAACAGCAGCCAGACTCTCCAGGCTCCCCACCCTCCTTTGGCTGCTGCTTCCTGTCCTACCCAAGGGACAGGGCAGGCAGACCAAGGTGAGTCTGGGCCACGTGACAGGAGGGGATTTCGGCTGTATGGAGAGTGTGGGGGAAAGCAATCACACCTGCATGGAGCAGCAGCGGAGGAGGGCAGCCCAATGCAGCAGGGCTGGGGAGTGCCCACAAGGCACACGTTGCAGTGGAAGGCAGGGGGGAGACACCTGGGGAGGAGGCAGGAGCAAAAAAATCATCATCATCACCACCACACTTGTGCACCTACATGGTGCAGCAGTGTAGGGGTGGGCGCCCACACGGGCACAGGGAACAGCAGGGGAGAGCATCCACACTACGCATAGCCCTGTGCTCACAAGCCTGGTGCAACCCGTGTAGCATGGGGCCCCTGCTGGGAGTGGCCCTGGGGCTTATAAAAGTTAGACAGACCTGCATTGGATAAACACTACTGCGTACCTCTAGTACCCATTAAAAGTGAACAAAAGTATTTTGATAAACTCTTTAAAAAGCCAACAGTTATCTTGGGAACTGCATGTCATGGCTCCATATACATGTAAACAAGCTACAATGCAATGGCAATTTAGTTGCCATTTTTCAGAAACCGTGTTAAAGTCTACACATCCCAGCTTGAAAGGTTCCCTCCCCATCTTCCCATTCAGTCGGTATCACATTGTGTCATAATGATGTACTTACTGATTTGCGGGGCTGGCAGAATTCGTGCAGCTCGAACCGGACCATGACGGACAGAAAAGAGCTCTTGTGCTTCACCGCTGATCTGCACAAATGGTGCAAGGAAGATTACATTTAGTAAGCCAAAGCAAAAAAACCTCTCTCCACCCCCAATTCCTTCACTTTGCCCTCCCCTCCCACAAAGCCCAAACCCCAAAGCAAAGTGGGCTCAGGTGCGACTCCTCCAGAGTCTTGTACAGTGCTATAACACCGTAACAGGATGTTCCTGTTGCCCCGATTAAGAGTTGGTAAAACCCTGCAGCAATCTGAAGGTTAGCTGCTAATTTCCGGAGCAGGTGTAATTCTTTAATTTCCTCCCTGAATGTGACTGAGGTGTATCTAAGATTAACAGGTCCTTAGGGAAGGAATTCAAAGGAGATCATTTTAGACAAGGGTTCAATCCAGTGTCACTTTGGAACTCCTTGTTTTTCCGGGTTTTTTGTGTTTTGTTTTTTTTTAAATAAGCCAACGTCAAGGAGGGAAAGACATTTTGACTCGACTGCCTCATCTGCATGAGTCTCTTTCACCAATTCATCTTATTCAGTTAACATAAAAAACAACACACTCCAAATATACTGATTAAACTAGTGCAAACTTAGCAATTTCAGTTTATACAAGACATACAGGGAGTGAGCTAAAATGCAGAGGATATTCTTTTCTCTGTTACCAATGTTGACCCAAAAGTGTCACAGAGAAGACTATTTACAAATCTTTAAAAACAGCGACCAAGTACTTTAAACAGAAGTCCTCTGCCTTTAGAAAGTCAGTGTCTTCCGCCTGGCTACACAAGGTATAAAAGCACTATGTAACATCCATAAATAGCATGTACTGCACAAAAAAGCAAGTCTTCAACTTGCCTACTGATGGATTTTGAACTAAAACGCTAGAAATTCCAGAACAGTTTATTCTACAGTGTGTATGCCATAGTAAATGGAAAACTATCTAGGATTGAGAGAGACAAATACTGGCTTTTAAAGTCAAAGTATCTGAAAATAAGTGCACCATATATTCCATGGGTATGAAAACTATGTTTCAGAGTCAAACTAATTAAATTTGTCATTAATGGAAGCCCTGAAGAGATTAAAATCATAAGTAGTTAAGAAGAATTTCTAGACTTCCTATAACTGGTCAGTCAGAATATATTTTCATAACTGATTGGTAATGGATCAAATATGGAATGTCAAACTTCAGGAAAATGGCAAACATGAAACTAATGCCCCAAACCAAGAACTTAAATACACAGTGAGGCTAAAAAAGTTAACAAACATCTTGACATATTATTTTGGAAAATAAGCCAAATAAACATCTTAAACTATGTATAGTATGAAATTAAGACCTTTAAAAATTTGTAAATATTACACTACAAACCAAACATAACCTTTTAAAATGCCTTCTCTACAATTACTTTCTCCAGCTTAGTTCACAAATTAGATAAAATAAAAATGCAACTATTTGAACAAACCACGAATATGGCATCTCAGACCCCACCCCCTTACTGCAAATCCTTATCTATCCATCTTACAATTTATTACCATTCTTATGAGTAACTCATGCAAAATTCCAGCTTATCGTCTTGAAGGATCTGTCTTTTATGAAAGCCATGTGCAAGTACCAGACTTAGTACAGAACACTTCTTAAGAAGTAAACACAATACATTTAACGCTCCTATTCCAAATTCCTACTGTATGTCTTCATAAAACCAGAAACAACCTGCAGGGCTCAGCAAGGAAATTTAGGGAAATACTGATCTTTAAATGTCTTTGCAGAGACAAAGTGCTCCCTTCCATTCTCACGCTGATATGAATCGGGAACAGCTCCAGTCAAATGATTAGAAATACTCCCCGATTCATACAGATGTAAAACTAAATGTGAACAAGACAAGGATCAGACCCTTAGTCTACCCTACTCTAATTTTATTAAATAATTCACATCAAAGATTCTGCTTTGCAATTTATTAGCAGTGCTACATGACATTTTAAGATCACTTTACAAAAAGACATGGAAACACTAATTTTTATTTGATAGCAGTCATTTTCCAACAGAACAACAAGTGGTCCCCACCTTCTACTTGCAAACCAAGTCATGTGTCGACCAAAACAACTGGATAATATTGAGAAGCCTAATGGATGAAGTCCGCTTTCTTCCTAGATTTAGTCGACTTCCTTGAAAACAGCACATGGGTTTGGGACAGGGAAGCAGTGAGAAAAGTGAACAAGTGGTTGAACCAAGAGGAAAGATGAACATAGGAGAAAGTAGCAGGTATTTACATGGAGAGTGTGGTTAGGCAACAAGCTTGTTGAGAAGAAAAAAAAAAAAGAGGGAGACAGACATGTGTGTAGACAGGAACAGATTTCCTATTTGTGGAAACATAGCAGTTCTCTAAAAACGGGAAACAAAATGGGAAGGCATAAGATTTCAAAACTATTATCATTGGCATTTAAGGTTTTTTCCCTCCCCAAAAAACATGAAAAAAAGTGTTTCATGTGTGTGCACATCAATGGCTGCAAGTGAAAACAAAAGGGGAAAAAGAACTAACAGAACAAAAGTACGGAAGAAGTGATTCATATATAATAATACAACCCGATTCCATCACCTCGCACTACTTTTTAAGCATGCCAACACATCAGCTCCAGCTCCAAGCTACTTCAAATAAAGTAAGAGTTTTAACAGTCAAAACCAGTAAGAAAGCCAAACATACTCAAAGTTTCTGCTCTAAAATATACTTAGTTCTGGAAAACATACTTATTTGGCCTGGGATACTAAGATGTGGTAAAGCTTTCAAAGAAATCTAACACAATTAGGCATCCAAATCCAATTGAAAATTATTGGTCGCTTGATACCTAACTCCCCATGGCACCTTTGAAAAGCCCAGCCCAAATTACTTATGGATAGATAATTAATTCCCAGCACCCACGGGAGATATTATCCCCATTTTACAAATAGGGGTAATTAAGGTAGAAGAGAAATTAAATGAAATACTTAGAGATACCAAGTCAGTCAGAAAAAAAGAGAAACTGCCGGCTCCCAACCCTGTTCTCAAACCACTAAAGCATATCTTTTTCTTCTGGCTTAAGACAAAATTTACTCAAATAAGGAAAACTTTTAAGAAGCTTACACGCCTACATCTGCAGTGTCACCGTACTAGGATGTCTATACTTTACTATGCAGCGCGTTGTGTGTTGCTCAACTTATTTGGCGAGATTAGAAAAAAAAATAGTGACAGACTGTAAAGTGTTCTCCTATGCTTCTGTAGATTTTATAATGAAACTATAATTGTATCAAGTTATTTGAAATGAATGCTCTCTAGAAATCTACAGAAAGTCAATGTATGTCAGCAAAATAAGGAACAGCTACAATGACAACACTAGTGAAGTCTCCTTAGTTCCTATAGAGCATTTTTTTTATCCAAACATTTCAGAAGTGCTTTACAAAAAAAAGAAGCCGTAATAATACAAAGTGAAAGACTTATAGTGTACTAAAGATCCTGGTTGCTCCTTAGGTGGGCTTGGAGGAGAAACATCTCTGGGTGCATACACACATACTAACTTTGACAGTTAAGCTGACTTAACTGTCAGAGTGTACATACTTAAATGTCAACTTAAATGTGGCACAAGATAATACACGTGCAAGGTGTATTATCTTGAGTCACATTACTTAAGTTGATTTAGCTCACAAGGTGGCTGCCACCATGTCAAGGACCTGTATGTGTGTATGCTCTGATGTGGCTTAACTTGAGCCGACTTCATGAAGTCAACTTAGTTAAATTGCCTTATTTTAAGTTGACTTTGTACATGCGTATACACCTTCCTCGAGGTCTTTTTAGTTTAAATCTTTGAATGAAATTACTCAAATAGATAAGTTCTGCCCAACAGCACCTTTTCTAACTTGTGATGTACATTCATGAAAGGTCCTGAATTGACCCAACTAAAGACTCATGTTCCCAATTTATCCACAGAACAAGCAAAAAGCTTTATCATCACCCCTGCTGAGCTAACACGGCTCCTGATCTGAAAGCGCCATCTCCGGAGAAGAGATACCGTAGCTTTGTGTTCTTGCCAGTTGAGTCCTTATCTCTCTACTGACGCTGCCAACAGGAGGGGTCATTTATTCCAGTTGTAACTGGACTAGGACAAACAACCATCTTTATTATAAGCCATCTAGTCACTGAATAGCTAACCATTTTGTCACTACCAGCCTAAGGTGGGTGTGAGCTGGCAACTATAAAAAGGTGAAAGGCTCCACACCCCATTACCAGTCCCTTGAGCTTCCTAGTCTCCTGAACTTAGACAAAATATAAATAGACTTTAGGAACTGAAAACAAAGCTTATAATTCAGCAAAAAGCACCTATGGAGAAAGTTGCTTGTGGCTGCCATTTTGGATTTACTCCAGCTAAACAGCGAGTCCCTGCGGCAGCATTCAAAGTTCTTGGAAGTTTCCTTTTCCTGTTCCAAACGCCAAGAAAGCTTCCAAACAGATTTTAAGAGCCGAAAATGAAGCTTTCAAAGCAGCTTCAGGTATTCTTTCTACAAAAAGGGTGAATCCAAAGTAGCAGCTACAAGCTGGTGTGAAGGAACTTAGCAACTTCCACAGTGCAAATGGTCAAGCCACAGGTCGATGAGACTTAAATCTGCAGACCTGCCTGCAAGATAGTAAGCAAAGGCTCTATCCAACCTGAGGTCAGCTGCCCAAATGAAGACTTCATCCCTTCTCCCCCATGTGAGAAGAGATCAGGAAAATGGAGGAAACAGTTTCTTCTCCCCTTGCACATTCTGGGCTACCACTTTAAAAGCATAATTTAGTTTATGACCGCTGCTTAATTTTATGACAGAATTTTGTTGTTTGGGACATACCAGTTTGGACCCGTAACAAACAGAATAAAGAAAGATTTGTTCACGCTGTATGGAAAAAAATAATATTTTCCGACCATAGAAAATAGCTTTCACATGGTGAAAAAAAAATGTGCCAAAAATGTACGCAGACACCAAAACTGAAGATTAGAAATCGGATTCTTAAACTAAAATGCAGACATAAAATTGCAAATTGTT